TTTTTTTTTTTTTTTTTGTGTATAAAAAATGTAAAAATTGTGTGAAAAAGTGTGCGTGCGTGCAAAATGATGTCGAGGGTGAAAAGAAAATCTTACAAAAAAGAGGTATACAAAGGTGTTTTAATAAAAAAATATATTACTATTTACAAAAAAAATATATAAAAAAAAAAAATAAAAAATAAAAACGATTTTTTTACGACTCTATTTTGTAATAAAAGAATCCGACCCGATTTCGATTAAAAATCACCCCAACGAATAAGAAAATTTTAACGTAAAAAGATTTTACGAAGTTTCGATAAATTTTGTTGAGCGGATTTTCTCTTCTTTGTCGATTTTTCATTTATGATCGTTTCATTCGAATCATCACTAAAAGGAGTACTTGGTGGTGAATGATCGTACCCATTTTTAGTTGATGAAGAACGACATGACGATAATGATTGAATTATATCACCCGTTCGACGTCTCAATATACGAGGAAGGTTGCGTTGTAGATCATTATTGATAGGAGTTAGCGTTGATGATGATGGTGTGGTACCTGATGATGATATTATCGTATTATCATCAGATGATGTTGCTTGAGTTATATTACTATTAATCATATTCATTTGTATTGATCCTTCTTCATCTTGACCTAAACGATTATTTGGTCCAAAATCCATTGACCATCTTCTAATATGTCGATTCGCTCTTTTAGGTGGAAGAGGAGGTGGAATTAAATCTTCATCATCATCATCCGAAGATCCTATAAAATCTGAAGGAGTTTCTAAAGATGGTGGTTGAGTTGTTTGAGGAATTTGTGAGGTGATAATGGTATTTTCAAGAGAATCAGATTCTAATGAATCAATAGAATCAATAGAATCAATCGGTTTATCCAAACATTTCTCTTGTAATATTAAATCTTTCTCTTGAAAAAGAGAAATCATTTCTTTCTCTTGTAAAAGAGAAGTTACTGTAGGTAAATTATTACCACCAATACCACCACTTCTTACGATAATACTACCATCTTTAGAATGTTTACTTAAAATCAAAGTTTCTAATACTCTAACCTGTAAAATTGCTTTTTGATAATCAGAACGAGAATTTTGTAAAGCGATATCTTTTTGAGTAACAATATTTTTAAGGGCTTGAATTGTTAATCTACATTGTTCAAGTTCTTGACTTAATTTACTATTTTGATTTCTTAAGAAAGCATTATCCATTTTTATTCTATCAACTGAAGGACCATTCCTTTTATTATGTCTTTTATATGGATTTGATAAAGGTCTACCTAATCTTGAAGGAGGTCTATTAAAAACTTCCAATTTAATTTTTTCATTAAAATCGTTATCATCAATATCACTATCATCATAATCATCATCATTTACAAATTCATAATCTAAGTCATCATCATCATCACTCTCATCAATCTCATCTTCCGAATCTACCAAATAATGATGCGGTGGCATATGAGGTGAGGCTATATTTAATTGTTGTGAGAATGATAATATTTCATTATGATTATTATGATGAACATGAACCAATGTTGCGTCCTGTATTAAATCTAATGATGATTTAAGTTCAGGTGAAAGTTCGACTCCATTTTTCTCATTGAATTTAGGCTCTGCCATGACAAAAGAAAAAAAATATTCTATTTTAAATAAAAACCTTTGAAAAATAAAAAGCGTCCAAAAAAGATTTTTTTTTTTTTTT